AGGTGCCGAATTTCCCCAATCCTCAAGAACTCTCAAATCTCACCAGGTAATTCCTAATGGCTCGTCATCTAGAGGCGTGCCTTGAGGTCATAGACCCAATTGAGGATCTTCTCCTGCTTCTCTTTTCCTTCTTCTTTATAGGGGCTCTGTTGCTATGCATGGCCCGGACCAAAAGGGCGGGACCAGACTCTTCACCACCTGACGGTTCTAGTAGTCATAAGAGGAGTGGAGAGGGGTCTAGTGTCAATAAGAGTGAGCTAAGGAAAAAGGCAAAGAATGAGGCTAGGGATCGATTTATCCAGGAAAAAGGGTCACTTGCGAGCGATACTTGGACTCCATTTCTCTTACCCCAAGGAATGAGGCAGTGAGGATCATTGAAGCACATGGTATATTTTTTTGGTTCAAGCCCATGGACAGGTATAATTTGTCAATGTGCAGGGAGTTTTACCAAAGACTCCAGGTGACAGAGGTGAATGTGGCATAGAAACGAATTTCAATTAGGCTCAATCACGGCACTAGGGATAATATTTGCACAAGAAAAAAAAAAGGGCAAAGGCTCAAATTTTGAACGATGGCCTAGGATCACTTCCAGGTCCGCATGGGATGGCATTATATGATCAAGACAAATCAGTCTACTATCCAAATGCAACTAACCAAAACAAGCATAATGAGACTATTGAATAAATTTGACATTGAAAAATTGTTCTTTGAGTAATTGTAAGTTCCCTCCAAAAAGAATTTGGCACTAAAGCTCTCATAGGTCCTTACTCATCTCCACTACTTATGTCAAGCTTAAAACATGAATCCAATCTATAAATTGCCGAAATTACACATTCAAGAGTCACATACAATTGAGTTCAAAAATCAATACATATGTGATACTCATGCATAGAATCAACTTCCATAGAATGCTCATGTGCACAAAGTTCACAACAAAGATCAACATGTCATCCAACTCACACATTCTTCATGAAGGAATACAGATCAACAATAAGATATTTTTCATCAAAAATTTCAAACATTTCACATATTTTTCACTAATGCAAGCAAAATTTAAAATTTCCAAACAACCTTGGTGTATCATACAAATGGTGAGGTAAGGTGTTGTGGTTACTCCCGATGAAATTGTCACCTTACTTGGAAACTACAAGAGACCACCTCCAACCCCACCATTTTATCCCCATAATGTTCCCTGACCCAAGATAATGCCTGAATTGGTTGAGCTGATATATGAGGATCCGAGTACCTTCAAGGGAACAGTTCAAAGTGGGAGGTTGAAGCCCACTTATGGACTATTGAATAAGCTCCTCCAATGCAATCTTTCACCAAAAGGTGCGGAGAAGAAACCAAATGTAGAGAAGTTGAACCTTGTGGATGCAGTCGTGTCAGGAAAGACAATAGACTTTGTTCTTCTCATTTGGCAAGAAATGAAAAAGTTTGCTGAGACGCAGAACCCATGATCAAGCTGCCATTCAGGAGCTTGATAACCCGGATGTGCATGCCCAAAGTCAAGGGCTATGCTTTCGACAAGATCACGCCCTAGAACTTGGAGCCACTGGCAGGACTAGCAAGAAGAAAAGAAAGGCAATGAGTAGGGGGAAGTGTGCCAAGACCATGGGTGTTGATTCTGAGGCCCCTGGTGCATCTTCATCTGTTGGGCCATCCATTGTTGCACCTGAACGTTCGGTTCCCCAGCGCCTCGATGCACTAGAGGCTACGGTGCATGGGATTGAGGTGGTGATGAAAGAATTGTTTAAGCATACTTTTCCCAAGAGGCCTATCCCAGGAGGATCCTCACCACCTGCTACTGTTCCCTCTGCATCTAGGCCCTCCGCTTCCATAGTGGTTGAGGTAGGCGATAATGAGGATGATTCTGACGAGAATGAGGAGGGTGAGAGTGAGTTTGAAGAGGATGATGACAGCGATGATGATGATGGAGATGGGGATGAAGAGTAGTTGTGTAGCCTTTGTCTTTTTCTTTTGTGTTGGTTTGTACTCAATTAGGATGGGATCATTGGCCTAGTAGAAGAATCTGTAGGAAATAGGCCAATTTTTGTCGGTTTGACTCCATGTACTCCAACTTTGAAACACAGTAATGAAATACCACAATTCTGTTCCATCTTGTCCATATTTATTTTGAAATTGCATTACGATTTTGTATTTTGATTTGCGGAGGATTGCCATGTGTTAGTCTTGTTATGCTGTTTTGAAATTAAATTTTGCTAAGGGACTAGCAAAACCCAAGTTAGGGGTGTGATTAGCACAAAACTTTGTAGATTTTTATGCGCTAATCATCTTGTTTTAATTGCTTTTGGAGATTAAATAATGGGAGTTGTGTTAATTGAGTTCTTAACGATGATATTTGGCGTTTGCAGTTAAAAAGTGCTAAATGAGGCCTCTTAAGGCCTTCTCAAACCAGTTGGGATGAATGGGGATGAAAAAGTAGCTTGGGGACAGCTTAGGAGAGAAGAAAATTAGAAAACTAGCCAAATTGTATCGGTACACGTACCAGTACGCTGAGGCTACTGGAGTTCGACGTATCGACGTATCGGTATGTTTTGCCTGATCTGTCCAAATGCTCTGCAACTCAGATCTGCTACTTTGAGGGTCCCACCAAGACATCCTCCTGCAACTCCCTGACAAGCCCAACACTCAGAACACCCCTTGGGACACCTATCTTAAACTTTTGGAAGCTTGGCCATTAATGAGGAGAGAGAAGAGAAGAGGAGCTGGGTGTGCAAACAAGCTCTGTAACCCCTCTGTCCAGCCCATTCCTCCTACACCCCTACGGATGGAGGTCACTTCTGGAGTCTAGGGCATCATTTCATGCACTTTTTTGGCAGGCAAAGACTTCATTGGTTCAAGATTCTATGGAATATAAGAGATATAGAGAGAGAAGGTCTGGTAGAAGATGATGAATAGTGTCTAGTGAGAGAAAATTGAGATTTTTGCATTTTCTTTCAATACATTGTCTTATAATCTCTGATATGAATCCTTAGAACTTCATTTAATGTCATTAATGTTGTTTTCTTTAAAGTTAAATGCAAGTTTAATGCCCTTTTAAAGCTTTCACCATTAATGTATCAAACTTTTTCATTTTCTTAGTTTTCAAATGGGTATTCAATATACTCTCTTATAGCTTATGTTTTCTTGTATCTAGTTGCTCTAGAATTTCATATCTTTGCAATGCATTTTCATTACATTGTCAATTTCATTTTAAGCATGAGTAGCTAAATCTCTTAGTTGGCAAAACCAAAGGAAACCTCCACTTGGGTATATCATTTCAACTCATTTTCTTCGCTTCTTTCAAAGTCCAATGGTTCGGTTTGACTGGATTGAGGTTGAATAACTTGGTGAGTTTTTGATATTTCGTAGGCCTAGTCACGGTTTATGCTTAGATATTCACTAATTTTATCCCTAGCTTCCCACGAATCAATCGTTCATTCATGCTCTATTGGAGGAGGGTTTTCAGTTGAGATGATATTCCTATTAGAGTGACCTCTTGAATTTGCTAACATTTGTTTCTCATTTTATTAGCATCAAAACAAACTTTACCAAACAACTTCCAACAACCAAAGATTTTACACTTTCTTTTTCCCAAAATCACCTTCCCCTCGGTTTACTTCCTTCCCTTTGGAAACGACCTTGAAATAACACCAAGTAAAACACAACTCGCAAAAGTCTCCATGCGCTTGGGGAGCACTTTTGTATACACACACACTTTTTGTGCATTTACACATCACATTGTCATCATTTCATTTTACCCTATCTCCTTGTCCTTTCTTTTGACATCACCCATAGGAGAGTGACACTCCCCTTCATCCATAAATTATACATGCTAAAAGGTGATGTTTAAAGGTGAGGAAACTACAAGGAATTTTGTCAAGCAATCATATAGCATAAAATGTTTATTCATAACATGCTTGATCCAAAATCATAAAATGTTTATTCATAACATGTTCGATCCAAGTCATAGAATGTTTATTCATAGTATGCTCGATCCAAGTCTTTTGAACAAACAATTTTATGAAATATTTTTTTGAAGTGTTTTGAAGATGCTTCAACATTAGCTACTCATTAGGTCTATTTATTAGAAGATTGTTTTTTTTGCATTTTACATAAGAAAAATCATTAGACATAATTATTGGCATATTTGTGATTAGCGGGTAAGACTTTAATCGCGAATTTCATTGGTGATCATATATTTTGATTTGGAGAAAACTAAAAACCAAAATTATAATTTAAAATTATCAGTGTGCAACGCATGCATGTATCAACTAGTCCTTCAAAATATCAACATTTGTAAAAAAAAAAATTTTGATTTCATATTTTATCCTTAAATTTTATTATAAAGTCAATCATACCTAAATATTAATTTCCTCTAATTTTTATTTTATATACCTATTTTTTTTTGAACTCTTTTATTAGCAGTATTTAAAATCTAAACTCTATATTACTATAATTTAATTTTTATTTCTTATACCTATTTGACTTCTATTTTTTTTTAGACTCTTTGTAAATCATATTTGATTTTTAAATTATTTTATACTAATTTATTAGTAGTAGACTTGTCTACAATTTTTTATATATATGTCTATACTTATATGAAAAAATAAAATTTTAATTAGATATACAAATACTCAATAATGACAATCTTATAATAAATATTTATTATAAACAAAAGTTGAAATATATAAGGAGTCAGAGAAATATTTAAAGAAATAACATATTATATACTAGAGGAATAATTAGATTTGAAAATAATTAAAATTACACAATTTTTTATTCAATTTAATTATACATATAATTTAAATTTTTTATGAAAAAATGTTATTTAAATTTTTATGAAAAAGTATCATTTAAATGATTGTTACTACCATAAAATACACGAATTTAAGAACTCCATTATAAAAAAGGGTTTTGAAAAAATTGGAAAAAAGGGCAAAGAAATGTAATTAACCAAGGCTAAGATGAATTTGAGCCGAGCCGAGATGAGATGATCAGAAGGAGTGGCTAGTGTTACGGCCGGTGAGGAGCCCGGTGAGAGCTTGGACTTGCATCTCCAAAGCGGCTATATAGTCTGTGGTTTCTTCAAGAAGATTCGGGAATGATAATTTCCGGCAACCAGGAACTAACCGGCGAAGAACCTTAACCTTCCGCTGTAACGGCGGCAACCTCTTGTTGACCACCGGCTTATTCGAACAAATATCTCCGGTCACCGTGACTAATTTCCTGTGCTTTTAGTGTTTTTGATTGAGTTTAACACGGAGCCGGGACGTGAGAATGGCTCTGCTCCATCGAGTTCTTGCTTTGGCTGCAACGGCGAGAACTCTGTCGGCGGTCTCTCGGATAAGGCGAGTTGTGACGGGAGGAATTGCCGTAGAATTGAAGCTTCGACGGACTTGACGGAGGCCGTCGATGAGCTTGGTGGAATAGATCTGTTGTTCGGCAATGGATTTCCATCGTGTTGGATTGATTTTGACTTGTTCTATTTGATTATCAGTTATTACTTTTCTTCGCCTTTTGTTCTTTAATTCTGACGACCGGCTGGAGCTGGATATCGATTGGGGATCGGAGATTAAATTCGAAGATGACGCCATATCAATTTCTATACAAGAGACAGTGAACCGGTGATGTTGAAGGTGAGGGCGAGCCGATGACTCAGATGAAAATCATTGCATATCAAATAAACTCTATAGTTCTGGATAGGGATAGGAGTCCCTTAGAATATTGTATAAAGTTAAAGCTTACACTAACAAGAAATCAGCAAATAAACGAAGGATAGATACAAATTCTTCGATGAAAAAACTCGTCGATAGATCAACAAATAATTATTTAGCAAAATGAAGAGAAAATCGCTACCTTCTGATTGCCTCTGCCGGTAGTAATGGTGGTCTCGCAGATTTGTATAAAATCTTAAAATGGAAAATCCTCTGTGCTGTGGAGAGAAAGAGAGAGAGAGAGAGGGTAAATTGGTATTAAGATGAGGGCATTGGAAGACGAAGAGAAGTTGGAAGAAGCGGAGGAGGAAAAGACTTTGGGAAGGGGAGCAGAGAATACCCATGCGTCCCATGCGTCTCTTTTTAATTCTACATTAGGGACCGAAGGCACAATGCAATTTAAAAAACATTGAAAATTAAATTTAGACATGAAATAATTAAACACAAACTTAAACGTTTAGTAAGTTGAAAGTCGAAACTATTCTCATAACCCGTGCCTAAAGGTACTATACAATTAAAAAAAATTGAACATTCTTCTTAAACATGAAACAATTAAACACTGAACATAAACACGCATTAAACTAAAAGTCTTAACTGCAATTTTAATATCATGACTTTTGTAAAATAAAATGGGTCAAAATGCCTTCGTTTAAATTATTAGAAAGAATAGTAAAACCTAAATATACCATATATGAAAAACAAACGAGCAAATATTACATGGACTTAAAAAGTAGACTTAAAAACTAGACTTGATAATCTAAACTATTGATTTCACTGTAAGTCTCAACATTTATTGTTACCTACTACCTATTCAATGGTTGAGATTATCAAGTCTAATTTTTAAGTCTATGTAGCATTACTCAAAACAAAAATAGTCAATTTTTTTTTGTTCTTTTAATGATATTTGGACAAAATTTTCCCTAAAAATAAGATCCCAATAAACTATAGATAATTAATAAAATACTAATTATACAATCTACCATCTAAAAAATATTAACTAAACAAATAAATTATAAAACCTGTATGACAATCCTCAACTTATATTACACAAATTCAATCAATTTTCTATCTATTCTAAATGAAGACCACAAAATAATTTGTGATGCCTATACTGACCAAGGAAAATGTATGTGTACGTACAACAATTTATGCATCAATAGAAAACCATTCTTCCTACAAGAACAACTATATGAATACTTGTAAAAATAACAAACCAAACAAGATTATTTGATACAACCGTTTTCTTAAAAAAAATAGAATAAACCCATAAATTTTTCAATTACAGACAACTTTAAAAACACACAAAAATGACATAAACTACTCTAAATCAACTTCTACCTCAATGAATGAACAAAAGTCAAACTTCGCTCAATTCAAAATTATGTGCCCTTGAATTACATTTTGGGTTATCCTAAAATTTACTACATCCAAAAACTAAACTCCCTTTTGCTTTATATTAATAAGAGAAATTGAAATCAATGTAAGAAACTTTTAAATTTTTGAAAAATTATCCCCTCAAAATATAATGTCACAAATATATCAACCTGTTTACAAAACGTATATATCCCATAATCATACCCAAACTATGTCATATGCAAGCTAAAATCCAACTATGTACCAAATACTACAACAACATAATAATTTTTACTATCATCTTGCCTAAACATAATTATTTACTGACTACCACAAAAACATAATAATATTAACTATCATTAGGCCTAAATATAACTATTTACTAATTACCAAAAAAAACACAATAATAATGGATGTGGTTAAAAAATAAATAACATACTTTTTTTATGTATCTAAAACAACTGAAAACTATTCCTATACAAACTAACCACAACAACAACATAATACGAATACTTAACATTGATATAGTTTTCTATGAAAGCAAGACCCCGAAAAATATCTGCATGCGTACAATTTCTAAATTTCATAGTTGTAACTTAAAAGGCTAGTAATTGGCACTTCTTAAGGTTACCAAGTGTCTAAAAGAATACGGCCCAACGAAATTGTCAGACCCATCATCACGCCACCATTCAACATCAATAACATAATAGATAATCTAAAGATTCTAACACAATATACCATATATCACTACCGCACGACAGTTCCCAAAAAAAAAAATCACATGTCATCATTTACAATTACCAAAAAGTGCCAAAAAAATGGATTATCGATTGAATGTAAAGATTGTAGTAGAAGATGCAACACAATTGAGTGACTTCTATTCCACAGACTTGGTTCCAAGGATAACCTGAGAAATGTTCAATTCAAAATTAAATTAGGACATAGAAGTAACTCAATATTTCAAAAACAAAATGCAAATAAATAACAAAGATTTATGTGCAGTGATACAAGAATTAGGTTTCTTATTGTTTACAGAATCTCATCCATAAAATGCAAGGTACTTGGAAGAAGTCCAAAAAAAATCATCTAAACATGTGTAACTATTATAACCTTCTTCTTCTTTCAAGTGTGATTCATTCAATATGACAATCGTCTACCAGCAAACATGGAAATTTTTTAACCATTAGACATCAAAAAGTTGCACTTAACATAGAATTCCAAATGCAAGCAATTCATTTGACAAACCTAGTTACTTGATATAATCCATCAAGAGTATAATTGAAATACTTAAAAAGGCAAAGAAAGTATGTCATAATCTAATAGAAATTATACATTGCAATAAGTTTTATAACATCTAAAGTATTTTTATTAACTAAGCAAAAGCTAAAAATTAAGGAAACTAAAGAGAAAGGGAAAAAAAAACTCATAAACGTAAAATAAAAAAAAAATAGAATTCAATTAACTGGATCAACAAAAGACTATTCACAACCCAAATTATACCAAACAGAAAAAAAATACCTGCAAATATGATTCACAAATGTGAAGAAATTTAGAGTCAAAGCCTTTAACCCACCAATCAAAGAAATTTACTGTGAAGAATAAAAAAAATCCAATTAGACTAAGCCAATAAGAAGAAAGACCCAATTTATAGCACATAATTCAATATGTACTACTACATTGAATTTCACTTTGAATTTCTACTGGTTTCAACCTTTGGTTTTATTTCTACTACACTGTGAATTTCAAATTTTTTGATCGAGTATTTTAATTTGTGGTATATGTTGATTTTAAGACACAAATAAAAGCTTGCTAATCAGATAGATTTCAACATTAACAGTGTTAACAACAAATCCAAAACAAATAAATAGAGTATTATGGAGACAGATTGTGCGATGCGTATGTTGGGAAGGGGTAGTCCTGTGTGTGTGTTTATGTGTGTTCTTACAGAGAGAGAGAGAGATAGAGGGAGGAGGTCAACGTCAAGAGGGGAGGGGGTTAAAAAGATGAGTCTCTGTGTGTACGTCTTTGAAACAAATCAATAAACGGGTACTGCCATACAACATAATCAACAAATTTGAGAAAAAAGCGGGGGGTCATCGCCTCACATCCAAAGTGCATCACTCCATCCTGCCAAATAAGTTTTTCTAACTGCTGGTGCAAGCTTGGTCTTTTGATTACATGCAATTAAGTGCAAACTACGTCAATCACTTCAACTATTTCTTTTGAGTAGGATTCAAACAAACCTCAATTACCTAAGAATCAAATGATGCAAAACCAAAAAACAAATAAAAATAAAAACTCAATCACTTATGTGTTTCAATAATACACTCATATTAATTGAAATGAAAAGAAAAACAACTTAAAAGTGAGTTCATTTGTCCAAGTTGGAAACACATAAGCAATTGACTATGCCACAAACACAACCACCATAGACAATCTACCAAATCCTTGCACAAAAACACAAAAAAAAAACCCATCAATACAAAAACATGAACAACTCACAACTATGTCAACTACAAATATACTCATACATTTTACTTGTGTAGCAGTACAAAGAACAATATTTAAGACACATTATTCTACACCATTTATCGAAGTACTTAATTTATCAAAACCCATTCAATTCACTAACACAACAATACCAATATCAACTAAATACTGTAAAAACCCACCAATTGAAGATCAAATTCATATATTTTTTTCAATTTCTTAGCAATCAAGTATTGAAACTATCATAGTAATACTCCACTACAAATATGTCGAAGAAAAAAATGAAGTTTATTCATAAATTATCAAAACCCAATTCAATCACCAACACACGACTACTTAACCGAAAAATTCATTTAATTACCTATGAATTCTCACAAATCAAACAATATAAACTATCAAAATCAAATTCAATCACCATTTCACGAATGCTAAATACATAAATCCGCTTACTTTTCTACTAATTCTCAGCAACCAAAGAGTAACCAAAGAACAAAACCAAATTATAACTATATCGAAGAATCACAATTACGTAATGACCTTTGAAAAACACCAAATTCTTACTGTTATAGTCCAATACACTATATAAGTAGGGATGTAGAAGTGTTCCCAACATCATGGGTCAAAAGCCACAGTCATCATAGATGATTTCTTCAACAATAAGAAGATAGGAAAATTAATTCCAAAGTTCTAAATGACTTTTACAAGATGTGGCCAAGCTAGTTACGAGAAACTAAAATTAGAATAAGAAAATCAATAATAATTCATGTTGTTGAAAACCTACGAGAAAAGAGGCAACACAAGAGCAACTCAATGCATGACTATAACCAAATTTCAACTAATAATGCAACTCTTAATAAATTAATTCCTAAATTGACATCATAAATGTTCAAAAGCAAAAAAAAAAAAAAACTATGACAACGCATTAATAGCTTAATTTCAACTAACACTTCAATTCACAAAATTCACCATCCATAAAACCACCTCAAAATTGGGTGGCAGAGAGATGTGCTTTGCGGACAATAGTGTGTTTCAGCGCA